ATGTCTGCGTGATGCGGTCATGCGGACACCACAGTTACCAGATCTTAAACCGGGATGGGAACAGTTGGGTCCTATGATAAGAATTGGGTCTCGTGATAAGAAATTATAGCCGATAATTCATTGATATTGATATAACTTGTTGTTTTGATTTGAGAAAATCGGGAGAGAGAAGAATCGAAAGGCGTAGGGTACTAGGGTGGACAACATGACAACTTAGAATTGAACGGGAAAAGGTCGGTTGTGCTACGGTGGTGACGACGTGTTGTCCGGAACCGAACGGTGTTGGCGAGATGTCGGATGTGAAGTGCGAGCGTTGGTGCCAGTCGTTAGTCGACCAAAAACGGCACGGGTCTGACGCGACGGCATTGTTTGCCGTGTCGGAACTCGGTGGTGAGGCAAGTGGCGAGCGAGTCGAGGGCAGTACGTGGGTACTCGTCGAGAGTCGTTGCCAGGGAGTAAGACTAGTAAGAGTTCGTGGAGACGCTGTGACATGACGGACGTGGGTCTGTGTCACCAACCGTAGAAAGATAGTATTGTGATGATGGCTCACCATCTACAAGTCAGTGATCACCAGAGATTTAAAAAAAAGTTATTTATTTACTGGACCCAAGACACGACATTGTTGGTCAGTGTGAGGGAGGTTGACCAAAAAATATTATATTGTGTCGGGCGGTGGTGTACGGGGGGTATTTATTCTTCTAGCAACACTAGGGCTGTTGGTGGATACTTATGAAACTAGATCAAATCATCACAAATTTCCATTATCCACTAAATAGTAAATAGTAATTTTTCATTGATTCAAATTTCAAATTACAAATACAACTTATACAACTATACAAGTTACAACAAATTAGTATAACCACTGGTTATAACAATACAGTTATAAATTACAACCAGCTACCAGGCACCTAGAACATAACAAATATTATACTGTAATACTACTGTATGTCATAATGGATGAATAATTTTATTATATTATGTTTATTGAAGCTTTGATATTTTTTTCTTTCTGGAACTATTTTGTTTAAGTTCTCTGTTATGTGTAAACGTAAACTGTTTCATCCTCATTATTATAAAATGTTGGAAGATGGTTGTCAAAATGTCTGATTTGTGTTCTGGAAAAGGAAAGGGTAGCAAATCTGAATGGTTTTCTATTGTATAATCAATTATACTTTTAAAAACATCCATTCCTTGTACATATATATTTAAAGCATCTTCAATTGCTGTTATTAATTTAAATAAATAATTTGAATGTATTAGAAAACATTTGATTTTTATATTATATAAATAATGCTAATAGATACCTATCAATAAAATAACCCTGTAAAAGTTTTAGGAACAATTTCATATTGACTGGTTTTGCTAGTAACATTTTGTATTACTGATAATAAAATAAATTACTTTAATAGCATTAATATCATAAAATATACTTAAATACAGGCTGACACTATACTCTGATTTTACATAATTTATTTCAAATTGAACCCATTAATAACCTAACGCACCCATTAATCTGTCCCACATAACACCTTATGTACAGCAGAACAGTTCCCACTAGCAATATTTTATTTTATTTAAATTATTTATATGTTTTACTGTTATGAAATACGATGTTTGAACGCATATTTTAATGTTTTACAGAGTATAATATTTTAACATTTTATAGAACATATAGTTCAGTTTTTAAGTGAATAAAAGTTGAATTAAATAACTTGAATTAAAGGCTTCTAATAAATTGTTAGAACGGCAGTTAAAAATATCAAAAATACAGTCACAATTTTTTTTATAAAGTTCGAATTTTGAAAAAATACATACAAATTATGAAAATGTGCAAATTATTTTGAGGTAAAAATTTATAAAAAAAATGTCTTTTTAAAACTAATATTTGAAAATTGAATACAAGATTCCACATAAGTTTGTCTATTTAAATCAAAAAAAAAAAAAAAAATTTCTATTGAAATGTCAAATTAAATTGTTATGATTATGAGTGTTTGAACTTCAAATTTTTACACCATTAGATATTTTCTCAATTGCTCGTGTAACGATATACTTATTTTCTTGTAATTCAAAAAATAATAACCGTTGACACTTGAATTTTACACCATACTATGTTTATTTTATCATCTTCATAGTTATAATAGTTGAAATTTGGACAAAATTACATATTACATAACCAAGCAAAACGGGTTTAGTTATTTTTTTGTAATTTTATAATATTAATTCAACTTACTGGCTACCTTATTAATAATAAGTAATAACAATAAAAATATACTCAGGTGCGGACAGGGTGGGATGCTGGGATGCTACAGAATCCCTTACAATAAAATATATTTTATAACTAATATTATTTATTATATATTTAAACTTATAATAACTTATAATTAGGTTATTACCAACTTACGATTATTAGTGATCTATAAAATTGTAAAATTTTGATTGAAAGTTTGTTGTAACTTGGTACTTATTTATGTTTTTAACAAATATTTAATATTTTTTCAAAACAAAATAAAATATATTAATATTTTATAAATTATCTACATGTTTTAAATGTGCCCCAACAACTTTTGTTATTTGCACTTAAAATTGTGTAGCATCAATTGCCTTTTTTTACCAGTCCGCACCTGAATGTACTATAAAATATTCTTGGCTGACAAACTGTCAGATCAGAATCGTTTTTCGTATACAATGATATTATATCATAAAATTCAAATATATAACCATACATTACAGTGACTCAGCCACTTTATTTTTTAGTTATTTAAATAAAACCTTTTCTTATCAAAAATGATAAATTCCAGGGTAATGTATTTTAAAGACCATCAATTATTTATTATGTGTTTTTAATAAAATTCTTGGGTCATTTGGAAGATTGTCAAGGCAAGAATGTATTTCATTTTTTTTTTATTATTTTGCTAAAGAAACATAAGAAATATTTTCCTCTACAGTCTTAATAACAATTAAATATTTGAAAACAGTGTTTAAATAATTTAATTTTAATTTTGATATAAGAAAATAAACATTTTGTGTAAGTGTTTTAAAATTAAACTTGAGCATTGTACAATATTTAAATATAAATTATAACGAATATAATAATTTTTTATGGTTATCAGTACAATTATTGTTGAGTTAAAAAAATTATTTTTAAAAATAGAACAGACTGATGATGGTTATACAAACTTAAAACTTATTGTGATGATGCAAGTTAGTATTATTCTGTTGTTGAACCCTCAAAGGAAGTTAACAGTCTAAAAAGTTGGCGGCCAACAGTAGTTCGATGTCTATTTCCGGCTCGATGGGGAACTCTGGTATTCCAGTTGGATTTCTAGAATAATAATGTATGTATGCCAAGTACATACAAACTTTACTCAACACTAGCGAGGATATCAACCTTAAGTGGATTTTGTTTACTTCATTGTCCGCATTATGACAGGGTCCGCTCAACATGGCTCTGATTGTGCCCGACCTCAAGGCATGCTCCCGCTTGACGATGAACTCTTGCCCATCGCTCGAGATCAGCTTGATGTACTGAGAGTTGGGACCTTCGCAATTGCCATACTTATCCTCGCTTCCTTGAACCATTGTTTTTTCTTTTTAATACTTTTGACGTCGATCAAAATACAAACTTTTATGGAATTGATGTGAAATATTCCAACCAGTAATGAGAACAATAATAATATTATTGTTGACTGGCAATAAGCAATATTGGCAATATCAATGGAGGCTGGACTTGGGTCCTGGACCGTTTTCACTTTTCTGGGCTTACCCTCTGTGTCTCGGGTCTTGCACTGGTTCAGATGCTATAGATATTGGTTTGATAAAATCATTATTAATAAATCAATTTTAAAATACAGTATCTTCAATAGTGTATATTATCAGAGACCAAAAGCATGTGGCCAGTAAACCCTTTAATTTAATAATCGTGAAAAAAACATTTATTTCTTCAAAAAATTCAAAAATAAAAATAAATAATAATTAACAAAAAATCAATATGTACATTTTTGTAATACCTAGTATTAAGAAGGTAGAGTCATACTATAGTAACTGTAATTGCTGGAAGAAATAAATGTTTCTTAATTTATTTTGGATTTAGTATTAAGATGAGTACAAAAAGGTGTTTGGATCTCGAACATTTTATGTAGGTATAAATATTGTCTGTTAGTAATTTCAGTTTGAGATCACTGGTCTATACCACGGCTATAGATAATATGGTTGCGGAACGGCCTATACTAAACAACGCATTACACCGAGCTGGAATGTTATTGAAAAGTCGCGTGACTAAAATTACGAGCCTGTCGCGCCATCTACGGTATTTGATAGAACTAATAATTATTGTACCACGTCTATATTATGCAGAATGCAGAATTGCAAGCCATGGCTATATAATATATTAAAATGCAGACTATATATGACATACTATATTATAATTTAAGTATATATCCAGTGGCGTACACAGCAGGGGCTAAAACCCCCCATTGCTGTATAATTATTACTTTAAAAAAATATATTAATGACGTTTTTAACTACAAATTAACTGTGGTTTTGTCAAAATTTCCTCACCTAAACGTCTTAAATTATTAGAATGGACAAAATAAAAATAAAATTGTAATTAAATGTCAAGCCCCCCTCCCTATTGAAAAATAGCCACTGTATATATCCATTGAATAAATATGATAAAACTATTTAAGTATTTTTATTATTGTTGTACACAGTTTGCTTTACCGCGTAAATTGACGTGTTCAACACGAATTGAAACATTATTATTTTGATTTAGAATTTATTTCCTGTGCTCCGAGTCAAAATAACCAAGTTTAATAAAAAAAATGTCAGTATGGTTAATTGTTGTGTGAAATATCCACATGAAGCTTCAAAAACAACTTTTGGGGTCCCTAAAAGCATAGAGGAAAGAAATAAATGGGAAAATGCATTAAAAACTGTTCTTAAAAAAAGTTACAGAGTTTGTGCTTTACGCTTTAAGAAGAGCAATATTAAGTCTACTTGGGAATCCGGCGAAGGAGAAAATAAATACAGAGTAAGAATATATTATTATTTATTTCAGTGTACCTTAATTATAATTTATAACCATTTTTCAATAAATGATAAATTGTGATTTAGATATGTCTTAAAGTTCTTAAACTTTTGGATGGACCAGTTTCATTAGTATTTGAGAAGGATGAAAACTACCAAATTCAAACCAAAAGAAGAAAGGTAAATAAAGTATTAGATAATTTGATAATATTAAGTACCTATTAAGTTTAAATATTGATTTATTTTAAAATATATTACCTAGGTATACCTTTAAATAATAATATTTAATTTAAAAATTAACAGATTGAAATAGACTTATATACAAATGTATTGAGGAATAAGTGCTTGATTAATTTGCCTAATCATTGGTTTGTTGATATTATGGAAGTGTACGAAAATAAAACCGAGATGGTAGTATCAATTCATAAACTTAGCCCATTGCAATTACATTTTACAGGGATAATTGAAAAAATAATAGTTATAACTAAAGGTTATATAAATTAATACTATACTTATTTATATTTTATTGTATTTGAGATACTTAATAACTAGTAATAAATTTAATTAGATTCAAAAATATTACTACATCTTAATGAAAAAGAATTCATCAAATTATCAGAAATAGGCCTGGACAATTCACATATTAAGGATATTAAGGATATAGAGAATTTACTAAATATCCTTGAAAAAATAAAATGTTGTTATGGAGCTGTTTCCTTGATTAAAGTTAGAGATATTAAGTCTTCATTTTGTTCCCAATACATTGAGGTCAATGGTCGGTGGAAGCATAAGAACTGTTTAACAATTCTGAAGGATAATGAGTAATGTTTTGCTAATACAAATGTGCATTAACATAATATAACAGTTTGTTTATTTATTCCAGAAAATTATGCATATGGTGTAAAAGACTAACTTTTTCTATAAATAATAAACTTACCAAACATACCAAAGGATTATCTACAAAACCATTCTTTTTTCCAAATAAAAAAAAGTACTTTCAAAAATAAAATCGATCAAGAAAAATATGCAGCAAAGATGTTCTAGAGCTCGTAAAACAATTTTGCGTCTACAAATTGAATTAAATAAAATAAAAGATGAAATGAACTCTTTTTGTGAAAAAACACTTGATGAGTTATTAGAAAACTCGATGATACCAAAAGGCCAATGTGAATTGATTAAAGAGATATTTTTGGCAGCTAAAGTTAAAAATTCTAAAAACAGATGTTATAGTGAAAATTGAAAACACTTTTATGTTTGTTGTTTCAGATACGGTAAGGTTAGAATATATTAGTTTTTTTAATATAATAACTTCACAATTAACAAAATTAATTTTTTTAATGTTTCATTATAGCTCACCAAGTGGCTATAAATATCTTAGAGAGCAAAAAATACTACCACTACCTTGTACAAAAACTCTACGTAATTATTTGTTGGCCATTAAGATAGGTTGTGGATTTGACCCAGATTTTTTTAAATTATTAAAGAAAAAGTTTGCAAATAAAACAGAGTTCCAAAGGAAAATGATTCTTGTATTTGATGAAATTTTCCAAAGAGAGAGTATTTCAGTCAATACAAGAACACTGACCTACATTGGCTTGGAAGACTTTGAAGAAGGATTTGAAACCAGAGCAACCAAAAAAGCTAATCATGCACTGGTTTTGATGGTGCAAAGTTTAGCAGATAATATTCAACAGCCTATTGCAGTATTTGCTTCCAAGGGACCTGTGAAAGGTAATTTTAAGCTGTAATTATACAAGAAAATGTATATTATAGTAATATTTGTTTCAGGAATTGATTTAGCTAAAATTATATTAAAAGCCATTTTGTTATTGGAAAATTCTGGTATTCAAGTGATTGGCATCACTAGCGATGGGGCCTCTACAAATCGTACAATATGGAGTGCACTAGGTATAAGTGCCAAACAGAAAACTTTCAAAAATTCATTTGAAAATCCGTTTGATGACAACCGAAAAGTTTTTGTTTTTTCTGATGCTCCACACTTGATAAAATCTGTTAGAAACAGATTATACACAAAAAAATCATTACAAGTAAATCAATAAGTTTATATTAAATTTCAATAAGTATAAAAACATAAGCTTGTGTATATTTATAACTATATTATTTTCTTTTTTAGATTCATCCCAACAAATCTTTAATTAAATGGAGTACATATGAAAATGTATTTTTTCATGATTCAAACAGTTTAACTAAAGTTTGCCCTAAAATTACAACAAACCATTTAGAACTAAACAATTTGTCAAAGATGAAAGTAAAATATGCTTCACAGGTATATTTTTTAATGTTTAAACGTTAGGTACACATATTAAAATTATTACTTTTTTTTAGATATTTAGTTCATCAATGGCTGTTGGAATTCAATTTTACCAGAGTAAAAACTATGAGGGTTTTTAAGACTGTGATAAGACCATCAAATTTACTCTGATGATGAATAGTTTATTCGATGCTTTAAATAGAAAATGTCCTGGGGAAGGAATTAAAAAAAATAGTTCTGATTTAGAGGTTTTGTGGCATATATGTAGGATTTTTAGGTTGCATGTCAATGGTTACAATAAATGTTTGTGTTTGCAAAACTAAAAACAGGGGAGTATCATTAAAATATATTTATTCAACTCAATATTAATTGTATCAAAACTTTATGCATGTATTTTCTTATTCTAACTTAATTTTATGTTTTAGATACTATTAATAGTAATCCATAACTAATAATTAGAACTATATTATAGTATGTAACTAATACTTATATAATTTGTTTAGATGATTATTGTGTACATCATACTTCAATACTTGGAGGCAGTATCTTTAAAATATTTTGAACTATTTTTCATACGTCATAATAGATACGAGTGTATGACTATTAATTTGTATTTGTTTAGGTATTGAAAAATGCATTGGTTTGGTTGGACAATTGGGAATCAAATGTTACTAATAATCTAATTCCAGAAGACAAGTTTTTAACTAAAAACACAGCAGAAGGGCTTAGAATGACTATACAATCTTCAATTGACATAATTAACTATTTACACTCATGTGGTTTTGATTATGTACTAACATCTAAAACTAACCAGGATGGTGTTGAAGTAAGTATTTTACACATTAATTACATAACTTAACCTATTTGAAATAAATAAAAATTATATAATTATTTTTTAAAATTTTCAGAAATTTTTTGGAATAATAAGGCAAGTGGCAGGACCAAACGACCATCCTTCAACACCCACATTCTTGCAATTATACAGAATGTTATCTGTTTATTCTCTGGTAAAACCTCCAAAAACAGGGAATTGTACTATCTTAGAAGGTATTTATGGATTTTTATTAAAAAGTTAATAATATTTAGAAATTTTATTAACAAGAAGTACAAACAATATACTTTTAGATAATATCCCTGTTATTTCTATTGGGGATTTGAAAAATATTACAGAAGAACAAAATGAAACATCCATAAGAAAAGATAAAATATACAAGCTAAAACATAAAATTGATTCTATTGTTAAAGATGGGCATTATGATTTTGATGATGTTTTTAGAGATCA